CATTCAGAACACAGCCTGCCGGTTAGTTACGTTGATGTTTTGACTTTTGTTTTATGCCTACTACATTAGCCAGTTGTTTTATGCCTACTAGTTTTTGAAGTGTTAATATTTATTTTGATTTTTTGTTAATTTTACCGACAGGAAATCAAACATACATTCAGAATAAACCAACTTTCTGAAATTTGTAAAAGTCTTACTTGTAGATGCGAACAGTTCTTTGGTGAGGAAACAATTTGTTCTACGATTCATTTGTTTGTTTCGATGTTAATTTGACACAAGCGTTTTTAGCACGTAAGGGGAGTCAGTGAGGTTTCATCTTATTTCTTAAACAGCCCGTAAAGGAGGGGGATATGCTCTTTCTGCGGGCGTTTGCTCCGGGCACGTTGGATTCGTGGGGCATAGTAAATGAACTGTGGAGGATTTTTCTTAACTTCAATTATAGAAACTAAAAAAATTTGCAAAACTATTTTAAAAAGATATTTTGCAGCGCCACCAGCTCCATCGGATTTAACAGAAGAGCAGTCATTCCCGCATGCAATTGAAATTTCATTCTTGCCACCATCACCACCGCACGGTATCATCAACGAATACAGAATAAGACACACTCCGTCTGATCAGGTGAACGCTTTTTCATTATTTATCCTCTACCGCTGTGACGATCTGATGTTGTAATGGATCAATGAAGTTATTTTTCGCAGAAGGTAATGGAATACCCGAGGTTTGAGCACTTCGGTTTGCAAATTCACTCCTTTAAGTATGCTCTGATCGGTGCATGCAAGGGAAATGAAATAATCAAAGTTTGTTTCTCAAGCAATTTTTGAAAACAGAAAGAACAGCCAGTAGCTTTATCAATGGGAATTACTGACATCATGAAACGTTATTACCTACAGTTGAAAATAAGTCGAACGAAAGTTTTTAAGCCTCATTTACATCATATCTAACGATCTATTGTACGAGTTATCTAAGTTTTTATTTTTGAAAATCCGAATTATTTTGCAAAAAAAGTGAATAAATGTTGCAGTTTCGGTGAACTTGTCCGTATTTAAAATTTAATTATCCAAATATTTTGCAACTAAAATCATGACAACCATATAACACTTACCGTGTCCCACATTTTCTTTTAAAAGATAATTAGGAAAATCGTATTTCGACAAAACCAAAATTTCCTGAAAAATTTATGCTCATTTTTTTAAATGAAATGATTTGTTAGTGATTTATTTGAGGTTTTGATTCCGTTCAATCTTATAGTTGAACTACAAAGAAGTTCGAGTTCACGGAAGCCGACTGCAATGCTCAGATGCATCAAAACGTGACCGACTGTGTTATCGCGTTGTGGACCTGGAACCAGAGCAGGAATATGATATTCAGGCAGCAGCACATACCGAAGGTGGTGCTTGGGGTGAATGGAGCGAGCCGATGAGTGCACGAACGCATGAACAAAGTAAGGCTTTTCTAGAAGAAACGAGCAGTAATGATTTACTCCAGCAGTCCCATGAAAAGGATCTTGCATCTGAAAATTCAGCTCGAACTCCTCCTTGTCCAAACCTGTTAGTATTTTTGAGTACAGCATGATTTTTCTTACATTTTTTTTCGAAATGTGACGCTTATAAACTGATTTTCAGTGCTTCTTGGCTGAATTCTGCACCTTC